CTCCTCCTCCTCCTCCTCCTCCTCCTCCTCCTCCGTCTCCTCTCCCTGCTCCTGCCGCGCGGAGACATACCAGCCCCCGCCGGCGGCGTTGATGCTCCCCCAAGACCTCTCCATGCTGCCTCAGCCTGCTCCTTCTCCTCCTCCTTCTGTGCCTGCGCCGGCCCCGCCTCCCACTCCATTGAGGAATCGCACTGCCTCCTCGTGCGCACGCGCGCAATTCCAGCTGCGGCCGCAGAGGGGCGACCCTCGGAGCCCAGCCTCATTTCGGGGTGGGGGGAGGGGAGGAAGGGGGAAGAGGGAGAGGTAAGCGCGATTTGATGACGTCGATCTCCGGGCCCGCCCCCCCAATAGAATGACGATACCATCGCGCCCCGGCCTCCCCACGTGCTGGAGTCCTTCCTCTACTCTGGATTATGAGGTGCGAGTGGTTTGTGTGAGTCGTTGCGGCCCGGAGCCAGAGGCGGGAGCTGACGGGGTTGGAGGTGGTGACTGATGTAGGGGCAAGGGGAAGGAATCAGGGGCAGTGGCCACAGGGGTCCGGTTTCCTGGAGGTGGTGAGGACCCGAATATGACAACCCTCTGGTGGAGCGGGAAGTGGCCATTGACAACTTCTGTGATCGGTCTTGCCTTAAGGAAAATCTCGCGATGTCACCGGGAGGGTCGGAGGTCACAGTTCGGCTTCTGCGACTTGCGCACTCTCTCCCAGGGGCATCTCCCAGCCAGTTGTTCCAAGTCTTATTTAGGTTTTTGCAAGATGGGAGCTGTCCTTTTGGTTTAAGGATCCAAATATTTGGGTCTGAGTGTCATCTGGATTTAGAGCTGGAAGGGGAGTCTAGTCCAGTCGCCTTATTTTTACGACCGAAGAAACTGAGGCTCAGAGAGGTTGAATGATTTGCTCGAGGTTACAACCAGTAAGTGGGAGATCTGGAATTTGAATGAAACCCCGTCCTCAGCCTACAAATCCATCCTCTTTCTACTGCAGTGTTAACAGTTTGCTTGTCGCAAGACACACTGGGTAGGGTGGCTGTGATGACGGTTTGTACTTCTAAAGTGCTATGGAATAGTGAAAAGCTGTTTAAAAACGTTAGCCCCCAAATCCCAATTTTTCAGAATGCTTAGAATTGTGAATGCAAAATATTACTTCCAATAAAGGCTGAGAACATTTTGTCAGGAATAATAAACAGGACAGTTATTTAAACAGGTTAAAAGAATTGTTTAAAATCATTGTTAAAATTGTGTAAATGTTACTTGGGGAGCTAGGTTTTTTATTGTTATTCAAATGATTTTTAAAACTACCCCCTCTTGACAAGTCGTTCAGTTGAATTTTTTTTTTTCTTTTCTCTCTGGAGTTTATTGAAGAGGTAAATATCTGCACCTGCTTTTTGTACTATTATTTGTGGGAAAATGAATTTTGCAAATACAGTTAATTGCATACCATATTTATACCGTGTATGCCCCTACTTAGTAAACTCCAATGGCTCCTTATTGCCTCCAGGATAAAATAGAAACTCTTCTTTTTTGACTTTTAAATCTCATCATGAGCTGGACTGGGTTTATCTTTCTAGCTTTATTATACATTATTCTTTGATCCAGTTTCTCCTGTACATATTTTGTATGTATTTTTTTTTTTTTTGCATGTTGCCTCTCCTATCATACTGTGAGCTCCTTGAGAAGAGGGACTAGTTTTTTGCCTTTGTATCTCCAGCACTTGGAACAGTGCCTGGCACATAGTAGGTGCTTATTAAATGCTTATCGACTTTGATCCCATCAAACTGACTGCCACTGTTCCTCACAAAAGGCATGCATTTGTACCGACTATACTGCATACCTGAAATATATTTCCTCCTCCTCTCTGCCTCAGAATCTCTTACTTCCTTTAAGATCCAATTCAAGTTACCATCTTCCACATAAAACCTGTGCTGTTCTCCCCAACTATTAGTGCCCTCCCTCTCAAACAATTTTGTATTTATTCAGGCTTCTTGAATAGGAGTTTTTTCACTTTTTTGCTTGTATTCTTAACTATTTGAGAAGTAGCTCCATGAGCAGCATCTGACCCATTGTAAATTATTTCATGCAGTTCTTGACTTTTACTTCCAGAAACCTGTATTACTGAATATTTTGCATTTTGATTTATATTTTTTTATTTTTATTTTTTTAGGATTTTGTGGAGATCGTTTGGATACTCAGGATTTCTGAAAACATATCATTATAGAATAATTACATCAAATTCACAGATTCCTTTCACTTGGATATCACGGGTACAGAGTCTTCATAAAACACTGGCTTTTTACTTCTCCAGTCAAAGAAACAGATTCTCTACAATGCCAGAAATAGACATGAACAAAATTGACCCTGAATTGTATTCCCCACCTTCTCAAGTTCGTGGAATGACAAAACTTGATAGAACTGCATTCAAAAAAACAGTTACTATTCCAGTACTTAAAGTAAGGAAAGAAATGGTAAATAAATTAGTGAGATCCCTAAAAAAGGTACTGTTACAGCGTCCAGGCATAAAACGTGTGATTGATGATCCAAAGGATGAAGGAAATAAGCTTGTTATGTTGGATCCTCATAAGATAGTTTCTGATGATTCCTTTGAAGAATCTGAACGTCTTCTTTTAAAAGAGCTTAATGTTAACCCTCAGATCTCTTCATATAGTTTGGAGTTAGCTTATGAAAACTTTAAGACAGAAGAAATCTTGAGAGCCGTGCTTCCTGAAGGTCAAGATGTAACTTCAGGGTTTAGCCGAATTGGACATATAGCCCATCTGAACCTTCGAGATCATCAGCTACCATTCAAACAGTTAATTGGTAGGTACAATATAGAAAAACTTGGGTTTACTGTGTATGTTCTAATTTTAGTTATGTAAAGTCTAGAGAGGCTACATGACAGTGAATGGAGGACTGTTCTCAGGAAGACATGGGTTCAAGTGCTGCCTAGGACATAGACTAGCTATATCATGGGCAAGTCATTTAACCTTTATGTCTCAATAAGTTTTCTAAGCTTATAATTTACAAATGAATTGAGGATCTGTATCTGTAGAGGGAGTCTGCACACTGGGAGTTTAGCTCCATTTCTCTCCTCGAACATAGATCCCCTCCTGTTTGGCCAACTAATGAAATCAAAAGTCTAGACCAAAAACAAGAGTTTTATTTTACAACTGCTAGGTTATAGGAGGAGGAAATTTTCCTATTTTAAGTTTAGGCCATGTTCTGAGCTGTAATCCACCCTATTTGAAAAGCCATTTAGAACATCCTCTCTGGAAGATGTATATATGAATAAACTTAATTGTCTGCCTAGGCTTTTATGGCCATCAGTACATAAATGAAGGTATAGACTTAAAAATTCAGAATTATTTGCTGTGCCAAAATTCACTGGATTGTCATATTGCAACAAGGGCATTGTTGGTACTTAGTGATTACTGATCTTTAAGTCTAAATTTAGATCCCAGCTTTTGTGAATTTTTGATTTAGGTCTGAATACAAAGTATTTGTTTATTTTTCTATGGCTACAGATCTAGATTTTTGATTCGGTTCATTATCCCTTGGCTACTCATCCTGAATAGTCTTATAATTAGTATAACTAATTTGTTGGAGAAGGGGATGAAGAATTAATAGTATAAACCCAGGCAAATTTATGTTTTTTACATGTAGAATAATTATTAATAGACTTAAGGATTATGCTCATCTTTAAAATGTAACTCCAGCATTTTGTTCAGGTAAGACTTGTGAATACTCTTTTATGTTTTTCTTTTCCTTTATTTTCTTTTTGATAATTTATTTATTTTTAGTTGTGAACATTCACTTCCATAAAAGTTTTAGTTTTAAATTCCACCCCCCTCACTCTCCCCACCCCCCCATCCCCTGGGACAGTGTGCCATCTGATATAGGCTCTACTTATTAGTCAGGATGTAAAGACCAATTAGAACTAATGGGAGGAACCACTAGAATGAAGCAATAAAACCAAGCAACAAAAGAAAAGGAGATTAAATAGCATGCTTCTGTCTGCATTCAGACTCCCGTAGTTCTGTCTCTGGATGTGGATAGCAATTTCCATCATGAGGCTTTTGGAGTTGTCTTAGATTCTTGCATTGCTGTGAAGAGCCAAGTCTATCATCAACTCAGTCATCGAACAATGTGGCTGTTACTGTGTACAATGTTCTCCTGCTTCTGCCCATTTCACTCTGCATCAGTTCACATAAGTCTTTCCAGGTTTTTTTGAAGTCTGCCTGCTTATCATTTCTTATAGCACAATAGTATTCTATTACATTCATATACCCCAACCATATACACAACTTGTTCAGCCATTCCCGAACTGATGGGCATCCCCTCAATTTCCAATTATTTGCCACACCAAAAAGAGCTGCTATAAATATTTTTATACATGTGGGTCCTGTTCCAGTTTTTATGATCTTTTTGGGATACAGACCTAGAAGTGGTATTGCTTGGGTCAAAGGGTATGCAGTTTTATAGCCCTTTGGGCATAGTTCTGAATTGCTCTTCAAAATAGTTGGATCATTTCACAACTCCACCAATGTTTTCTTTTATTTTTAATGATAAAAAGGATTGCTATTTGAATGGTGTGATCAGAATATTGAATGCTACAAGCAAATGTTATATAGTTATACATAAACCCCTTCTGGCATTCTTTTTCATTATGTTTCCTTTCCCTCACATATGAACTATCAAATTCTCAGAAATATTTTTAAGGAGTAAGTATAGTGGATAGAGGAGGCTGGAAGTCAGTTCAAGTTGTAACTCTACTACATACTGCCTATTTGCACCTGGTGGAACTTAACTTCTCAGTGCCCTGGATTACTCTCTAAAACTAAGTTGTCAAAGTCTCCTTTGTAGGCTCCATTATAAATTCCTTAACCATAGGTATTCTCCAGGGCTTTATCTTAGGCTCTCTTATTTTATCTGTATACTCTCTCTGTGACCTCATCAGCTCCCATTGGTTTATTATCTATATGCAAATGACTCATAGGTTTATGTCTAGCCCTAATCTCTCTCCCTTGAGTTATAGACCAGCTTCACCAGTTGTCTGATATTTCAAACAAGATGTTCTAGAGATATCTTTATGCCCAGAACAGTATTCATTTATCCTCCCTCCTTACCCTCCAACCCAACTCCTCTTCTAAATTTCCCTATTTCTGTTGAGGGCACCTCCTTTCTTCCCATATCTCAGGTTCATAACCTTTGATGTCATCTTTCATTCATCACTCTTCCTTACCCCACACATTCAGTGAGTTGCCAGATAATACCATTTCTACCTTTACTTACGTTAATACACAGCTACCACTTTAGTTCAGGTCTCATAATTTCTTATTGAGATTATTGCAACAGCTTTTTAATTAGTTTCCATTCCACAATTCTCTTCCCACTGGAATCTATTCTCTATCTAATTGCCAAAGTGATTTCTTTACATGCAGATCCAATCATGTCATCCCCCTATTTAGTCAACTACAGTAGTTTCCTGTTACCTTTAGGATAAAATATAAACTCTTCTGTTTAACTTTTGAAGTCCTTCACAACCTGGCCTCAACCTATCTTTCTAGTGCCATTATTGTACATTACTCCTCTTCTTGTACTCTGCCATACAGCTATATTTGCCTGCTGTCTTTCATCTCCCATTTCTGGGCCTTTGCCCCTCATACCTAGAAGATACTCCATTCTCACCTCCACCTCATATGACTCTTTGTCTTCCTTCTGGGTGCAGCTCAAGCATTACCTTTCTTTTGAAATCTTTCCTGACACCCCAACTGCTAGTGCCCTCCCTCCCTAACTACTTTCTATTTGTAGTTATTCTCTTTAAATTTATTCTTTATATCTACATTCTAAAGAGAAACCCCTTTAGAATGTAAATTCTTTTTAAGTTGGAATTATTCCATTCTTTGTATCCCCAGGGCTTCACAAAAAGTAGGCACTAAAATAAATGATGTTTGCTATATATAGATAGATGAAGTGTCCCCACTGGAAATTGCCTCCAGTAGTGATATCAGAGGTTCTCACCATCCCTACACAACCCCCCACCCCCAAGGAAATTCAAATCTTTAACCATTGATCTTTAGGGTTCCCCCCCCCCCATAAATTTCATTCTTCATCTCAAGCAAACTATCTTACTTTGGGAATTTAGTTCTTATACCTAAGAAGGCAAAATATGAGCTTTTGCCCATTTATATTATAGTACACAGGTTATTATGAAGTATTTGATTTGAATTTCAACTGCTTTATTCATTTGCATTGTTGATTATTTTTATTAGATTTTTAAATCAGATTCTCTTTTATATCTCAGGATAGTCTCTTACAGGTTTCTAAACTAAGGTTGAAAAAGAAACTAATTAAAAGGAAGGAAGGAAACATGCATATATTAAGTACCTACTATATGCCAGGCACTGTATTAACTCATTTGATCCTCACAACAACCCTGGGAGGTATGTGCTATTATCATCTCCATTTTATAGCTGAGGAAACTGAAGCAGACTGGAAGTAAAGTGACCTGCCCTGGTCACACAGCTTAGCAAGTGTCTGAGGTGGGATTTGAACTCATCTTCCTGACTCCAAGCTTCATGCTCTACCAGCTGTACAAGACTTCCTTTTTTATTGACCAGAAGGATTACAATTATCATACTAATTATCATTATAATGTGTAATATTTAATTATAATTATTTTTAAATGGATATGTTTATTGTTTGGCTTTTATATAATGGCAAGTAAAGCATAATGGATAGAAAGCAGCCGTTTGAGTGAAGACCTGACTCCAAATTCCCAAAGCCAGCATCTGACAAATAATTGTTTTGTGACTCTTAGCAAGTAACTTAACCTCTACTATAAGACTATGATTTACAGATTTGCATTGCTGGATGGGGCAAGTTCTGTATAACAATGGAGTCAAATATCTGGACAAAAAAAAACAAAACTGATAGGTGTGTGTAGTCAAAGACCCAAATATTTCTTTTATTTGGAAACATTTGTTTTCTTCAAAATATTTCCAGAATGAACATTTGCCTATCCCCCATGGCTAGAAGCTCAACTGTTTTTGCTGATATTTTCAAAGTCCTCCCTCCTACCCTTTCACCTCATGATTACCTATTAAATAAACACACTCATGGGGCTTCAGCTATAGGGAAAAACATTTTTTTTTTCAATTACGGAGACCATCAGATACCCCCAGTGGCATGAGATTTTTATAATTATATTCCTTCAACTGATTCTAGATGCAGTTTTAAGGAAAATATATTTACGTTTTTACATATATGCAATTTCAGGCTTTATTTTGTAAACATTAAAGAAAACTTACAAAAACATTTTCCCCCATTTTTTTCAGGCCAAGTTATAATTGACAAAAACCAGGGCATCACTTCAGTAGTAAACAAGGTCAATACTATTGACAGTATTTATAGAAATTTTCAAATGGAAGTGCTGTCCGGAGAGGAGAACATGATAACCAAGGTATAGTATGTCTTCTCATCTATTGTGTGGAGTCAAAGTAGCTAATTGAAAGGAATAAAGTAAGTTTTAAAAAATAATAATACATTTATTCCTTCTTTCAACCATTTACTCTACATTTCAACACCATGGAAATGTTGAATAAAGTTCATCTTGCCTCTTCTAGCATTATAACAGCTTGTATTTACCAAAATTCTTATAGTACCTTTGTAAGTAAATTTTAGTCAGTCAGTTGTTGTTTATTGCTGTTCCATCGTCTCACTCTTGATGACCCCATTTAGGGTTTTCTTGGCAAAATATTGGAGTGGTTTGCCATTTCCTTCTCCAGTTCATTTTACAGATAAGGAAACTGAGGCAAACAGCATTTTAGTCAGCAAGCATTTATTAACTGCTCACTATATGCCAGTACCTGTGTAAGCCCTCTGAATACACATACCAACCCAAAGATGAGTCTCTGCCTTCAAGGCACTCATGTTTTAATAGAGGACAACACATAAAAGGAAGCTGAATAGGGTAATAGGGTAAGGTGAGGAAAAGATGAAAGGGGTAAGAAGAAGCCTTGTAGAATAAGCCCTGGGGAATCAGGAGTACAACCTGTGGTGGAGTTCTCAAAATGGTCTACTTAGGTTAGGAAACAAGTTAAAGCTACTCTCTTAGAGAACACGTTTTTAAAAGAAGCCCCATACTGTCAAAATGTTAGAAAAGTAGAAGTAATAAAACAGCCAAAAAGATGGATGCAAAATACATATTATTCTTGTTAGCTACTGAAAACTTTAGTTTTGTGGAAATTTGAGTATAGCAACAACAGTGTCCTCTAAAGCATTAACAGATACTCTTTTAATATTGTTTAGATCAGAATCATTAAGTATTCAAAGGTCTCCCTATTCTTTAAGAAACCCAGATTGCTCTGTTTTTGGGGACACAGCACTATATAAAGGCAAGTAGTGATGAATTTTATCCTATAGGAGAAAATCTATGCCTAGTTTTGAAAAACAGATTTTTTTTTAAGGCAGTTGGGGTTAAGTGACTTGCCCAGGGTCACACAGCTAGTAAGTGTCAAGTGTTTGGTCTGAGGCCAGATTTGAACTCAGGCCCTCCTGACTTCAGGGCTGGTGCTCTATCCACTGCACCACCTAGCTGCCCCAAAAAATAGAATATTTTATAATAACTAATAGTATGATGTTAGTGATAAGTTTTTTAATAGACAGTGTAAAGGTTCTAGGCTGTTAATTACAGGTTAACTTGGAATTTTACCACCATTTGGTGATGGCACTGAATAGCAGTTACAGGATATGGGGGATGCTCAATAGTGGCTTCCTATGTGGAAAACACATTTTAACCTGTTTGAAGTACTAAGTGTGCATATTCTTTACTTTTTCTTGACTCCTTAAGGTAATGAGCAATTTTGTCTCAACAACTATACCTCTGTCTGGGAAGTCTTTTTGGATTTACAGGTGGCACTTAATGGTTTTCTTAGACAGTTAAAGATTACTCTGGTTTTATGTTTTTAAACATATTAAGTAGGAAAGTGCTTGAGTTTAATACTGAATTTTTTAAAATTTAATAATGAATATTTATATTCATTTGAAGTATATTTATTTTTCCTTTAAATGCTGAAATCTTTTGATGTTAACCTTTGAATGCTTGATTACAGTCATATTAGTTCTTTGCCATAGAATCTCATGCAATAAAATCACTTATATTTCCTATTGTCATGTCTCTGTAAGATAATTTCTTAAAATGAGAGATCAAAAGTTAGATTTTATTAAAGTTGACTAAAGCAAAATCTATATGGAAACTAACTTAGAAAAATAAGATAGTGATACAAGAATACTAAGCATTTAATAAAGAGAGTTTTTATAGTTTTGATATTTCATGTCTGTCACAATCACAAAGCAGTGTCACAAGCCAATTAACTTTTTCTTAGATCTTAATATCACTTGCATTTTAATTTACCCAAGATAAATGAAACTTGGCAAAGGGAAAAAAGCATGACAAAAATTAGTTCATTTGACCAGTTCATTACATTGATTAGCTCTCATCATCTAAAATTTCATATATCATTTAAAATTTCCAGCTGTGACCCAGCCATACAGATTTCTCGACTTGAAACCAACAAAGACCCAAAGTAACAAAGTCTGAAAATTGCAGAATGGCTCTGAATTTAGAGTCTTTTCCATTTCCATCATTGTTCCCATTGATACTTAACTCAAACCTCCTCCTTACAGACAAAAATTCAAATTGTGGAGGTGACTTTATTTTCTGGGGTTGATGTGTCTATACACAATTCTCTACACACAACTGATGAATGCAAAATAACTAACCCTGAAAATGTGTGTGGTATGTTGTTTCAGGTTATAGGTTTTCTCCTTCCATCTGGTGGTATATAAGACCATAATTAAGCTACTCTGTTGGCCTATCTAAAAATTCCTTATGTGACTGCGGAAGCACTTTATGGTCCTTATGGATAAGGTGGGAAAACCATTTGGCTTTGAAGACAGGGCTTTTTTCAAGAACGTCTAATGCAAAAAATTAACTAGTCTCAAGACTAGTTACAAACACTGGTTTCCTAATTAAATTTGTTTTGAATGTATCGCTCTTTGCTCTTAGCTTTAGCATTGAAAAATACTTATGACAAGTCCTATGCAAATATTTACATATTAATTTAGAAATAACCTAATTAACCAAAACATACCTTTTTCAGGTTCGAGAAAACAACTACACATATGAATTTGATTTTTCAAAAGTTTATTGGAATCCTCGTCTCAGCACAGAACATAACCGTATTACAGAACTTCTCAAGCCTGGAGATGTTTTGTTTGATGTTTTTGCTGGAGTTGGGCCTTTTGCCATCCCAGTAGCAAAGAAAGACTGCATGGTATTTGCCAATGATCTCAATCCCGAATCCCATAAATGGCTATTCCACAATTGTAAACTAAACAAAGTGGACCAAAAAGTAAAAATCTTTAACCTGGATGGTAAAGACTTCCTTCAAGGACCAGTAAGAGAAGAGTTAATGAAGTTGGCGAGACAACCATCAAAGGAGAGAAAACCATCGGTGCACATAGTTATGAATTTACCAGCAATGGCTATCGAGTTGCTCAGTACTTTCCATTCTCTTTTAGATGGACAATCCAAAAGCAGGGAGCTTCTTCCCATAGTGCACTGTTACAGTTTTTCCAAAGCTGATGATCCCACCAAAGATGTTCAGCAACGAGCTGAAGCTTTGTTAGGTGCTTCTTTAAAAGGATGCAGTTCAGTTCACCTTGTAAGAAATGTGGCTCCTAATAAGGAAATGATATGCATCACTTTCCAGGTCCCAGCTTCTGTGCTTTATGAAAACCAGCCGATAAACCAAGAGGAGCAATATCTTAAACCTGGTATGGCTAAATTTTACACTTAACTTTTCTAGCAGCCATCCCTGTCATTTGGGAATACAGAATGAGGTTAAATAAACTGGTGTGATATTTAAGGTTTTAATCACTTTCTGATTCAGTTGTGTTTTAGTTTTATTGTGATTGAGAGAAGCAACTGTGCACCTGTTAAACTGTTGCTAGGTAAATGGCATTTGAACATAGGACCATAGATTTAGAGTTGAACAGCATGTCAGAAATAATTTAATTTCTTCATTTTACAGATGAAGAAACAGGTTCAGAGAAGTATGTGACTTCCCCAATGTCACAGAACTCATAAGTAGCACAGAGAGTATTTAAAACCAGATCCTCTCACTCCAGACCCAGCAGTCTTTCCATTGCATCATACTCCTCTATCACTTGATTCTGAAGAATAGTATCTAAAGCTCTTAACACATTAGTTTAAGAATCTTAAGGTTCCTGTGGTGTTTCTATTAATTTTTTTAAGAAAGATTTTAATAACTTTTGTTTTCACACTGTCTTTGATTTCCCCTTTTATTCCTCCTTTCTCTTAAAAGACCATTATGTATAATGAAGAATGTTTTTTTTTTAAAAAGAGAGGAAGGGAAAAAATTTAGCAAAAATGATCAACACATTGAAAAAATCTGATATTATATTGCACACTCAAGGACCCTGATCTCTGCCAAAGAGCAGGAGAGGCCAAGCTTGTTCTTTATAATCTCACAGCCTTCACTTTTGATTATTTTTTGTTGCTATTCCTTTCATCTGCATTATTTTTCATCATGTTTACTGTTTCTTGAAGCACAGTAATATTATATTATATTCATGTGCCACAATTTGTTTAGTCATTCCCCAATCAATAGTAATCTATTCTGTTTTCATTTGCTACCACAAAAAAATGTTGCTAGAAGTATTTTAAAGTATATAGAGCTTTTCTTCTTGTCAGTGACACCTCCCCCCCTCCCCCCGCTTTGATATATACTTTTAGCAGTGGAATCTTTGAGTCAAATGGTGTGGACATTTTAGTCATTTTATGTGCATAATGTAAAATTGCCTTCAAGAATGGATATACCAATTCACAACTCTTACCAACAATGCATTAGTGTTCCTGTATTTCCATAATCCCTCCAACATTGACTATTTCCATTTTTTGCCATCTGTTAATATTAAGGTCAGTTATTTGAAATATTATCTAACATAAATCTATTTGGTTTTATTACAGAAATCCTAGAGGGGCCTCCTTTTAAACGCCAAAGAACAGGTAAAGCCTCATTGGAAGGACAATCACAAAATGGCTCACAAACATGATCAGAAATGTTTTCTACCTCCATATCTATCCTTTGTGGGACTAAAAGCAATTTGTAATTCCCTGAAGCTCATGTATTATATCACTGTGGTATAGAACTAGGTAGTTTTGCCTTGCCTTTTACAGTTGTTTTATTGAAGATTATCAGAATGACATCTTAGTTGCTGAATTTTATATAAAGGTGATTAAATTTACTTTCACAAGTTATTTTGAAGAACTGTTTTCTTTTTCTTTTGGGGAGAGACACTATGACTACTTTCTTCTCTGTCATAAACTCTAGGAGTCATCATTTTCCCCCAGTGTTCCAATCATTTCAAGTCACACTTGTGAGAATCACATCCAATAATAGGATTTTCCCTGATTATGAAGATCAAAGCAGTAGCATCATGTGGCACAGAAAGGTTAAAGATTTCTATAGTTAAATGGTCCCTAGCTTTAGTAATTAGTGGGTCATTAGTGAGCTTGGAAAAAACTGTTTCAGAAGAATGGTATAGATGGAGGATATCAAGGGAAGGAGTATAGAGTATAGAGAGAACACAGTTAAGTATAGAGGACTCTAAAAGTTAATCGATGAAAGGAAGGAAGTGGAGCTTAGAGCTTGAAGAAAGATAGGAATTGGAATAGCTGCTGTGCAAAATATGATAGAAAGGACTAAAAGCACTGAGGGTCTAGTTGAGAGTATACAGTATAAGTAGTAGTGGATCCAATCAACATAGTTTCATGATTTCCTCTTTATTGTTCTTTTGGCTGTTTAGGAATACAAGCCAAAGAAGCAAAGGGTGTAAATTACCAAGGGATGAAGGTTACCAGCACAGGAATGGTCTAAGGTCAGTGGAACATGAGCTTTGAAGGTGAGGGCATTACTGAAATGGTTGAAAGAAGAGTTAATTCAAGTGAACAGTAAACGTTAAATGTCTCCTACATGCAAGGTACTGTTGAACGGTTAAAGAAGTGAGGCCAGAACCAGAGGAAGGAATAAAAGAAAGATCATCATATGTAAGAAACAGATATACCTCGAGCAGGGGAATTAAAGAGATGGAAGGACAGAAAATTGTAGTGAAGGAAGAGAATTTCAGAATTCAGAATCTTGAAGAAGAAGTAATTTAGTAAGGTCTAAGATTACCTTTGTGAATGGCTGAAATACAGTGAAGATAGAGGTCACAACTGTCAGAATGGATTAGAAGAGACACTGAGATATAAACTGAAGTTTGAAAGGATAATAGAGCCAAGGAGTTGAAAGAGTATGAACTAGATGTCAAAGTTGTGGAGGTGAGCAAGCATCTCATTTAAAAAAGTTTATGAAATTATACCCCTGATACTGATGTTCTTAATTAAGAGCTTAGCACACATGAAAAATGGCAAGAAGCTTTGTATATGGACAGAAAACTGGGTTTGGAAAACAGAAATCCAAGACTTACTTTTAATTTGTTATTAATTAAGTTGTGTGATCCTGAGCAAGCTTTGTGGCTCAATTTCCCCATGGACATGACATGAAATTATTAAATGATACATGTTAAATGTGTTCTCCCCACTTTAAGGGTTGTGAATGTATGTGAAAGCATAGGAACATTGGTTTTAGAATTAGGATGACCCTTTGAGATCAATTCAGGGACAGGGAACCTGTGGCCTTGAGGCCCCACCTGAGTCCAACCCCCTCATTTCTACACTGAAGTCCACAGAAGTCGTCAAGTGATGTAGGTAAGTAGCAAAGCTGGAAATCTGACCCAGTGCTGGGACTCAAAAGTCCAGTACCCTATTCACCATATAGTGTACTCCACAAATATAACATTTTACAAATGTTTCTAAATATGTTACATTAGAGTTTGACCAGTTATACCTGTGAGTATCTATTTTAATGGCAATTTTACAAGAAATCCTTCAGTTTTCTTAAGAAATTGCAGGAAACATTCATTGACATTGAGAAAGGTGGCATGAAGCAGTGAAAAGAGAAATAACAATGGATTTTCAATAAGAAAAATAATTTGTCTCAGGTCCACTAGTTACTACCTGTGTAACATGGTCAGTTCAGTTCACTTTTCTGAGCCTTAGTTTCCTTATCTAAAATACTATTATTATTATTATTATTATGTAACACTAATAGGGTGGTTGTGAGGAGTGTGTGTTTATGAACTATAAAGTGCTAGAAAAATTCAGCTATTGTTATTTTTCAGATGCTTCAAATATTTTTTCCTATCTGTGATCAAACTAAATCTATTACCCTTACAAGTAATTTTCTACATGTTACAAAATCTCTTGTTGAATGAAAACTTAAGGTCTGTAAGAAAACATGTCATGCTCAGTGCAATATTCAAAAGGTAAAATTTCACTTAAATCCAACCCCCTGAGACTTGTCATGAAATTGTTTCGTATGTTAGTTGAATGGTGCTATTTATGTATTAAATGTTAAGATATGGGTTTAATTTTACCATTGGTAAAAAGCTGTGTCTGCTCTAGATTATCCTGTTTAAGCCATGGTTCACAGTTGTACTACCTTAATCAAACTTTGCCTCACTTTCTCTAGCAGAATAGGCATTAAGGCTTTAGTTTAAAGAGAGTGAGTGACATTATCACAGCTCAGATTTTACTTGCCACATCCTGCAGGTAGAAGGAAAAAACTCACTTGTCTGGACTAGTACTGAGAAGACACTGAAAAAATTTATTAAGCGAAGGAATAGGTTTGAATATTGACTTAATGTTGTAATCAAAATGGCATTTAAATACTTGTTCAAATAAAATGCTATAATAAGAGTAAAACTATAAAACTTAATACAAAGTCTAGCTTTATTTTAAAAAAATTTACAAGTCTGTCTTTAAACCTCAAGTACACATTGCTGAATTATTCGTATCTTCCATTAGATGTGGCTTATTGCTTCAGTTCCTCTCAGGAAAATACAAATAAAAATGAATTTTTTCCCCACAAAAATGCATCTCCCAATTACATGACACTGTGTCCTGACTTTATTTCACATAGCTACCTTGAGTGGCAGTACTCAGATTGAGTTGTGCCGAGTGTGGTGATCATTTGGTCATTTCATGTTTGTTTTACTTGGGCTAGATTCTAGTTCCAATTTCTAAGCCTCACAAACTGGTAAATAAGTGCAGGTTAACTGTATGGCCAGAAAAGTCCACTGAAGGCATCTTGTAAGGCTCGGTGGCATGCCAGAGAAGAAGTATATCCTCCAGCAAGATCCTGTGGTGAAGCAGCTCGTACATGATTTAGATACCTAAGAGAAAAAATGATTGGTTTACGTGAAAAGTACGAAGCAATGGGTAAAGACATTTTTTAAAAGCAACTAATTAAAATAAATACAGAGTTACTGAATCTTCAACATGTTATAAGTAATTGTTAAAATTTCTATTCAGAAATACTAAATCCTTTAGTTATGGCATGTCTTTCTTGGGGCTGACGCAGGGTAGAAGAAAAAAAAAGATGTTCCCATTAAAAGGGTTGATCTAGTCATTACTAAGTATCACTACTGAAAATAGTATCAGTTTTCAGCTCCACTATTATTCCCTTAGTCATTTATTTTGTTTTCTTTGGCCAGAGCAATTTGCATTTAAAGACTAGGGGTATGACAGATATGGTACCTAGTAATATTTTAACCCACTCCATAGAATTTGCATCTTCACTTCTACTGAATAAGCAACCAGTTAATTCTATGATCACAACATCCAATGTCTGTTTTTTCACATGTCAATGTTTATTAAACTATATTATCCAAACTGTTAAACCAAAACAATACAACAAAAAGAAATGGGGAGAATAAGAGACAGTACAGAATCTTGCACCTACACCATGTTCTGTTTTAAGAAGAGCAAATGCTTCAATTTCTATATCTAATGGAAGACTCATATTCTGAGTTCAAATCTGGCCTCAGACACTTAATATCTATGTGACCCTGGGCAAATCACTTCACCCTGTTTGCCTCAGTTCTCATTTGTAAAATGAGCTAGAGAAGGAAATGGCAAATCACTCCATTATCTTTGCCAAAAAAAGAATTATAAACCAACAACAACAAAACACAAATGGAGTCGTGGAGCGTCAGAAGTGACACAACTGAAGTGACTGAACAACTAACTGGTCCTTTGTCTCTGTTAAATCACCAACAGATTAAATGTAATACGTCTTCTAAAGTCCACAAAACCCTAGGTTCTAGGTTCTATGAGACTTGTAAAGTTATTCCCTCACAGTAAATGTGTTCATGTCAGATATGTTTAAATTGTGTTTGCTAAGTACTTCCAAATGCTGCCACAACATTTACTGGGGGTAATGGTATTACTGGGAGTCTGATGCATGAGAAATGATCAAAGTGTTTTCAAGTTTAAAAACTTGCCCATGGAGCAGGACAAACCAGCTATTATTTATCTCACATAGGTTACCAAATCACTAGCAACCAAATAAAAGCTTTACCACATCTAAAACTACTTTCAAAATATTACCAATTTACATTTCTTCATATGTTACTGAATTGTTTGCATCTAGTCACCAGCCCAAGCTGTATCACCTTCATTTTCCTTTCCCCAGCCCTTCAGCTAGAAAAGCATTGTTTCAGCTTCAAGCCAACTCTCACAAATAAGAACTGGTTTCACAGTTATAATGTAAACCACTGAGCTTAAACTCACTATTTTGATTCATCACATCTTGGTCTAACCTACTCCTGGGAAAGTTGAGTCATTCTACCTCTGGCTTGGCAATTCAAGCATAAACTTGCACTGTGCACATGGCTTTTTATGTTATCCTGAGAAACCTAAAACAGCTGCGCACTGCTGGCAGCAAAACACAGGATCACCAGTAAAATATCCAAAACAGTTGCATCTTTTAATTTATGACTGTGCACTGTTTCCATAAAGAGTATATAAAACAGTTCAGCTTTTATAGGTAAAATGTAATAAACAGTCATACTCATTTATGCCATCAATGTAAAAAAGTTTATTTTAAAATGATTAATTATAGCTTGAAAACAGTATTTCTTGTTTAATAACTGTACTAGGGAAATGAACAATATTTCTATGTATGAATTAGTCCTAAGATACTTGATTCATACTACCAAATTCAAGTGTGCTTATCGAAGAATATTAACTTCCCCCTTTTTCCATTTACATTAAACATATCTGAAATGGAATAAAAGAATGACTTTTTACAAGAATTAGGATAATTATAGTTAAAGTTCATTATGCTCTTGAACAGCACAGAGTGATTATTTTTGAAGCTTTCAACCTATTTTCACCATAGCAACTTGTGTAAAAACATAACAGTTCATTGTTGGCATTCAACTGTGGTCTTTTATTTTTAAAGTAGCTAAACCTTTTTTCATCTGTCTTTTCTTTCACAGAATGACTTACATAGAAATGTATTTTGCATAACTACACATGTATAACCTATGTCAAACTGCTTGCTTTTCTCAATGGGGGGGAGAATTTGGAATTCAAAATCTGAAGAAAAAAAGATTATTAAAATTGTTTTTACATGTTATTGGGGGAAATAAAGTATTAAATAAGATTACAAAAATAAAGTAGCTAACCTTAATGTTCTTAAACCCTTTAATTATTGTGGTACACCAAAACATTTTAAAGGATCGGCCACACTGAAACCACACAATGAGAATTTAGTGTTTTGCCTACTTTTCCACATTAATCCACATCTGTGTTGTTTTAATTCTTTCATGACTGTTATACAAGTACATCTCTGAACTGAATTCCTGGGGTTTCTGGCAGAGGTCAGCATCATTTCATGTACACCTTTACAAAAGCACCAGGAAGAAGCCTTTGCCAAGTCTATTTCCAAAAGTCAAGCTCAGTTGAGTTTTGGAACCTGTAGATAATTGCTCTGACTGGTTAGCAAATTCTAACATACACTGTCTGTTTTTCATGGTTTTATTTTAGGTACCTGTAAACCTTATAAGGAGAAACCAGGAAAAAGAAATTTGCTTATTTTGGTGTACAATTTTTCACATACCTTATTTTACTAAAAGTAGCCAAAATAAAAGATGTTATACTTTTATTATTTCTGAACAGGACAAAATGAACCATCTGTTCTCAGAATTTTTACTTCAGACACTTCTGATCTAGAGGACATTGGTGTCCTTCATTATGCTCTAAGGAGTAATTTTTTTCCCATTAGTTTCTGCCCCCAGAAGATTACCTTTCAACTAACAGTATTTTTTCCACTGGGGAGATAGAGAGGAGGCAGAGGATATTCCTTGAACTGAGATTTCTCACATTGCCATTTCTTGTTAAAATTAGCGGTCGTTCCTCCCAGGCAAGGCAGTATAATTTACACTTCAAGACTTAACTCTGTTCTATAACATAAAAAAATTTCTGTACTATTTGTTTTACCATTTGTGTTTCTTTAAAGACTTTACTTTTTAGACATAAAGGATGATACAAGAAAATTAGGGAAGCATGAAAAAATTACCTGTTAGATCTATGGATAGGAGAACAGTTCATAACCAAACAAGATATAGAGACGATCAAGGGAAGTAAAATGGGTAATTTTAACTATATAAAATTAAAAAGGTTTTTGCACAAACAAAGCCAATGCAGCCAAAATTAGAAAAGCAGAGAAGTGGGAAAAAATTTACAGTAAGTTTCTCTGATAAACATCTCCTTTCCCAAATATGTAGAGAACTGAGCCAAATTTATAAAAATAAGAGCCATTCCCCAGTTGATAAATGGTCAAATGATATGAACAGTTTTTAGAAGAAACCAAAGCTATCAAGTTATGAAAAATGTTTTAATTCACTAATAGTTAAAGAAATGCAAATTAAAACAACTCTGAGATACCACCTCACACCCATCAGATTGGCTAACATGACAAATATGGAAAATGACAAATGCTGGAAGGGATGTAGGAAAACAGGTATACTAATGCATTGTTGGTAGAGCTGTGAACTAGTCCATTCTGGAGAATAATGTGGAACTATACCTAAAGGTTTAAAAACTGCATACATATCTTTGATCCAGCAATACCACTACTAGGTCTGTATGCTAAGGAGATGAA